TCTGGGTCGATGTCGTTCTTTTTTATTAATTCTTTAATCCTATCTGACCTCGATGGGGGTTACTGTTTCCCGCCTTGCGGTTCTTAACGAAATGTCGGGCATTTTGGATTTCCAGTAACATTTTACAGTTTGTCCGCAGGTGATGTCTTGTCGTTCGATAAAGATTACTTTCGTCGACGAAGTCTTTGACCGGTATATTTGCAACACATCTCGAATAATGGAATTTTTCATAAAAAGAAAAGTATTTATCAGAGAAAGGATTCGGTGGCTGTTTGAAAAAATATAATAGCCTCCGATCGAATTCATCCATTTCATAATATATATATATATATATATATATATATATATATATATATATGTGTGTGTGTGTGTGTGTGTGTGCGATAGGTAAATTGCCGCAATATTATAGTTTTAATTTTGCGCAAGCGTGTTGTTTGTTTTCGATTTTCTCGGCTGCACCGTATGGTAGGGTCATTTGAGCACCGTCTGTCAGAAAATGTGCACCATGACGCAATTCACTCCACGAGAAATTCCGAAGCCACATGTTGCACTGCTTGACATTCGCGCCGCAAGCTCTAATACGGACATTTCATAGTGTTTGCTTGTCAATTTGTGGACAGTGAAAAGGATTCTGAAAGAGATGGATGAGTCTAATGGTGATTACGAAAATGTTTGGAGTGATTACTAGTGAATCCGTCATTATGCCTCCATTCCTCTTCCAACAGAGACCTACGTCAAGTGCAATGAGGAGGTAATTCTGCTCCGTGTCAAGAGGGTGGCTGCTGGAAGACTCTATATCTCATAACAGGACACTGCACCATTTCACAGAAGCAGGAGAAACCAGTCATGGCTGACAGACAATTTCTGCCAATATATCACCCCTTACATCTGGCTATTTAACTCCCCAAACTGTAACCCCCTAGATTATTATTGTGACCCTATTTAGCTATGGTAATTGGCTAACTAATTAAGCATGGAAATTAAAAACGAGAAATACTTAAGGAGAGAAAAAGCTATAACGAGAGACAGACTGAACGATGTTATTTTTTTTTTAACAAAAGAAAAATGTGTAAAGATTTTCTTTTCTTTACGAAGAAAGGTATTTTTTTCGCAGAAGATAGAAAATTCGTAAGGTATCGGATCCTGTCAGAATTAATTTATGCTAAGACGCGACAAGGAAAAAAGAATACGGGTAAAGATAACAATCTGCCCATGGCAATAATGAAAATTTCAATTCGGTCAAGAGGCATACAAAGCAGAGTTCTAGAAGATAATCGAAACTGCGTTAAGCATGCGACCGAGAAAGAATTAGGTGAGACAAGCCCCGAAAAAAAAAAAAAAAAAAAAAGATAAAAAGAAAAAGAATAAGCCATTAACTATCTTTCGGAGATATCATTTGGTTTTAGAAGGAGACCCATCTGTTGTATGTCCGGATCTTTTGATGATAAAAGTTAAGTGCCAAGAGAAACAGAAACGGATAAAAAAAATAACGAAAAAAGACATACGAAGGAAATCATTATTGTTACCTGGACAAGCTGTTGGCAACAGAATACAATGATGTTGAGAAAGACAAAGAGATTTAGTTGACCACCCAGTTAATGAGTCGGCGAAAATCCCATTAATGAATTCCAGATGACCCCAAGTTAAGATAAAAATTTAATGTCCACAGTAAGATGGAAAAGAAAGAAAGAAAAGGGAAGTTATTTCTTTTCTTTGAGCGATAATTGTAAACAGAGGCCAGTCTAGATACACCCACACTGCCGAGCGTTTATTGGCTGAGTGGTGGCGTGAGTGATGGGCGAAGGTAAACATATGAGAAAGAAGGAAAACCAGTTGACGCCCTCTGAGGGGATTGGTGTGAGATACCAATATAAGAAAGGAAGAATTTAGGAGGACAATTCCCTTACGAACCCCAACCACAGATAGGGGGGGAAACCCCTATAAAACAGAAAGTAATTGACTTCCAAAAATGGGAAGTGATAAATTTTCCTGTCCGAAAACAAAGAAAATCCTTATTGCGGATTTGGAATTATCGAGGAACCCAAACCACGAGAGGCCCCCACCCAGTTTTGGTCGGCGTCCATATAAACGAACGTCCCCAGAGTGAGAGTTGAGTTGCAGTTGAGTTGGGTTAGAGATCGGAGACCAGCCTCGCAGGAGATGACTGAAAGATTTCCACGCATTCCGAATTAGACCTCTAACCAAAAACATTTTTTTTTTTGAAAACCGACGTAGACTCACACCACCAAAACAGGTTTAACGAATATCGCCTGAAGATACCAAAAAGCAGTTTATTGAAAATCAACTTAAGATATTAACCTCGCCTAAGAAACACAAAGTGTCCCGAATCCATAGAAGCGGTTTGGGAGAAAGACGTAGTCCTGTATTCAGCAAACAGATATAAAGATACTTGTTATATTTTTTTCAACACATTTGAATCTTTTGAGTTGTTTCATTATTTTCTTTTACATATTCTTGTGCGGTATCACCTTTGCCCCGGATTCAGCTTGCATTACGGCCCGACGCCTGATTGGTTTCGTCTACCTAAGATCAAGTCATAACGTAGATAGGTTAGACTAGAAATCAAAGCAATTACTTCGGTGATCAGACGTTGGAAGCGAGCTGGGAACGACAAAGCTGATATCGAATCTAACCAGGCATCGACCGCGACCAAGACAACCAGAAGGGTTAGTGTCACACATGGTTTCCATCCGAACCAGCCAAGGGTTAGATCGACACAGACAAAACTAGAAAAGCAATAATAAAGATTTTTAAAAGTAACGGATTCGATATAGATATAAAAACTAACCTAAACGAAGTAGATTTTCTAGATGTTACCTTCAACCTAAGAAAGGGCACATACGAACCATATAGAAAACCCAATGATAAACCACTCTATATACACACATCTTCCAATCGACCTCCTTCAATAAACAAACAGATAACAAAATCGATTAACCACAGTCTTTCCGACAATTCCTGCAATGAATTTGACAAAGCTAAGAAAGACTACGAAACAGCCCTAAAAGATAGAGGATTCCCAGCAACACTGACATACTTACCACAGAACACAAAAAAAGGCCAACAGGAAAAAAATATCATATGATTCCACCCACCGTACAGCAAAAACTTAAAAACAACGGTAGGAAAAATATTCTTCAAACTCTTACAGAAACAATTCCCGGAATCAAGCACCCTACACAAAATATTCAACAAAATCACAGTAAAAATCAGCTACAGCTGCACCGAGAACATGGCACAAATAATAAAAAAGCACAACAGGAAAATTATCAACAAACCACACGAACAATTTAAATCCACGTGTAACTGCAGAATAAAGAACTAATGTCCCTTAAACGGTAATTGTTTACAAAACAACGTAGTATAAGAACCCACGATAAAATCACCAGATAATGAAGAAAAAGTATACATAGGAGTAACTGAAGGGCCCTGTAAACAAAGAAATTATGCACATCTTTCACAAATTAGGCACATATTTCACTAATAGTAAATATGCGAACAGCACAAGGCTTTCTAAGTATATCTGGTAAATTAAAAAGAAAACGCACATCACACCAAAAATATCTTGGAAAATAAGGAAAAGATCATCAGCCTACAACAACCAATCAAAAACTTGCAAACTTTGCTTGAAGGAAAAAAATACCTATCATTACCTTCCCAGACCAAAATAAATTAGTAAATAAAAGATCCGATTTCATCTCAAAATGCAGGCATAAAAACAAAATTTTACTCCGTTACTTAAAAATCGAAAACTGAAAAAAATAAAATAAAAACAAAATAAATAAATAAACAACATGACAATAAAATAATTAAAAGAAATTAATCCAAACAAATTACCAAATCACACCTGTTAGAATAGACGAAATAGAATAAAAAATAAAAACAAATAATCAATGAACCCAAATAAATAAAGTAAATAATAAAAAAATTAACGAACCATTATGACCAAATATTCGTTAGACTATAAAAATCAAACCAAAAAATCGGACGAAAAACATAGCTTTAACTGTTATATAATAATAAAATAATATTACGTTACTGAAAAATCGAAAACAGAAAAGTGTAAATAAAAATATACAGTATAATATATAAATAATAAAAAAAAGTAAAATAAATTAATCCAAATTCATCCAAATAAATAAATAAACTAACCAACCGATCCCGATAGAAAAAACAAATAAAGATAATCAATCCAAATAAATACATGCGGTAATAAACAAATTAATAACTGCCCCAGCCAAAATAATAGTTAGAATAAACTACAACAATCAACCCCAAAATTGAATAAATAGCTTTAATTAATCTTCCCAAACCAAAACAAAACTATTAAATAAGCGATATAAACAAAATTTTACTACGTTAATAAAAACACCGAATAAAAAAAATAAATATATGAGATAAGAAATAAAAATAAAATAATGACAAGCAAAATAATTTAACCCAAATAAATAAACAAATAAACGACTTCCGGCAAAATAACCGCCAAAATATATGAATATCCGAGAAAACTAACAGTACTGAAGGCCTGCCGATTGCGTCTAGCATGAAACAGACTGTCACTCTAAGTGTTGACTTCAATGTTCACTTTTATACATACATACATACATATATATATATATATATATATATATATATATATATATATAAGTTTTATGAGTTTCTTTGATGAGTTTCTCCTCGTATCGATTAAGATTTCGGCCACATATTGCATTACTCTCCGAATCGTTTTATCCAACGTTCATTTCTTTCAAGTATGGAAGGTCGAGAGAGCCGAGATGCAACTAATATCCCGATTGTGTTGAGAACAGTTTACGGTTCAATATGAACGTTGTTATCCTTGTCATGGTTACGAAAGGAAAAATAGGCGTCATCTAAAAAATACGACTTTACAGGTTAGAAGCACTTTAACATATAAACTCTCAGGCAATATTTTTTGTTCTAAATACATCTGTTCGATTAGATATACACATCCGGAAAAAATGGAGAAAAAGGCACATATATGCATCCATATGGCTAGAGTTGCCTATCCAATGACAATTCGGCAGTTAATTTTCATTTTTCACTCCGTCGATGTTCACGTAAATCTCTGTCGGGATTATAAACACATATCCTAAATTCGAAAAAAAAAAAGAAGAAATTCGAACAAAGTAGAATAGAAAGAAAGAAAGAAAGAAAGAAAGAAAGAAAGAAAGAACATAATTACATTGCAGAATGACTTGCTTTATTTCAACAGGACGATTGTAAAGCAACATGCCGAAATTAAATGTCAGTAACATCCGAGTGCGTTCGATTATCCTGGAGTCACTTTCAAGGATCTTATGTACCGTGTCCCTTCAGGACGTAGGCGATCGTGGCCCTCCACATCTTCCGTAGATCTTAATAAATTTCGTCTATTTTTCTCCCAAACCCTGTTCTATCAACCATTTTCTCAAGCCCATCGAATATGTTACGCTCTGCTTGTGATCTGTACCTCTTTCTCTCAATCTGACCCGTGAGTATCAGATTTTCGAAGCTCTCTTTCCTCATTAGAAATGTCAATTGCCTCTTCCCGATGTTAAGTATACATTTTTATTTTGTTTCCATTTTCTCTAAATCGTCGTCGTTTCTCACATGTTAGTTTCATGATATCCTCAGGATCTTACTGTAGATTCACATTTCTGTTGCTTCAAGTCTGTTCTTCGTCTTTGAGTAAATTATTCAGCCTTATATTCTATCCCTGTCCTTTGAATACGGTAGTATTTTTTTATTATTATTATTTATTCTAAACCCATTTCTGTCACCCATTTACGCAAGCTCGCTTGGTATGTTAAACGCTGTTTTCCTCTGTACGTCGATATGTCCTTTGAGTGTCAAATTTCTATAGTCCTTTTTCTTCGTGATGTGTCCTAAAAAAAATTCGGCGGTCTCTTTCTGATGTCAAGTATAAGTGATGAGAATTAAAAACAACAGAAGAATAATAAGCGCAGATTAGAGATTAACACTGTGATATGTTAATGTTAAACTTGCAGTTGCCTTGATCTGTCTATTTTTTGTCACTGGATCTAACCAATGTGTCCTTAAGGACCCAAAGAGTTTGAGTTCAATACCCGGCTAAGGCAGTGGAAAACTTTCAGAGGGAAATTAACAGGAGATAACTGATAATTGACATCCATCAAACATGGCACGTGGAACTAGAACAGTCTACCCCAGTGAGCGAAAAAAAGTGTTCAGTTCGACATTCCAACCACCTGAAGAAGGCCGGAGCGTACAACGGCCGAAACGTTGTAATAAATATGGCGACAAAGATGAGGACAATAGTCCGAATAATGTAAATAATGTACATAATACCTCATCTCAGAAATATAGATAGATACTGAAAGGCCGAAACGTTGTAATAAATATGGCGACAAAGATGAGGACAATAGTGCGAATAATGTAAATAGTGTACATAATACATCATCTCAGAAATATAGACAGAATCTAGAAAACCATTGAACTAATAGAGTTTCTTTTTTCCAGATTTTCAGATAAGTCGTTTAGCCAACTTAGAATTTTTAATAAGCCTTTGAGTTATTCAGCTAGAAAGAGAACAGGTTAAAATCCTTTTGTGTCAGCCCCACTGTCTTCTCAGCTGAGCAATGGTGAGAGGAAAAATCATTCAGTCCTTCAGTAATGGTGCCAACATTAACACTCTGGCTTTCATCTTCATAGTCTATTCAAGAATCATTGCATAAGCTATATAAAAAGGGAACCGTAGAGAGGAAAACAGGATCAGGAGGTCACAAAAGGAAGAAAGATCATGATTTCAATTTAGAACTAAAGAGATCAATTACAAAAGATAGAACTCAATTAAGAAGACGTTTGACACGTGATAAAAGACAGTGAAAAAAAGACTTGAAAATAAAAATCATACATGAAACCTGGGAGGCATCTTTTTACTTCACGACAGAAAGTTAGAAGGTTAGAGATAGCGAATAACATTTTGAATAAGTTGAAGAAGATCCCGGAATAATGTTAAACTTGGAGAGTAATTATACATTCTTATTGCTCGAAGTAGAGTACAATAGCGTCATAAAATCCTCTGAGAATTCCAATAAGATATCTTTAATCATTTCTAAGTTAGAACGGTCCAAACGATTGAACAATATATATATATATATATATATATATATATATATATATATATATATATATAATTATTTTAACAAAATATGATTCCTTCGCTACGTAAGAGTTCTCATGTTTCAAATTGAATTAAAGTATCAAACCAATTTTTTTTGAAACATGAGAACTCTTATGTAGCGAAGGAATCATATTTTTTTAAAAATAATTATGATTTAAGCTCTACTTCTGTATGGGGCACTGCCTTTTAAAAATAAAAACAAAAATACTAAAGAACTCCGGATTATTTACCTAACGTTTTCTTTTCTTTTCTTTTATATATTTGCACACACACACACACACACACACACACGTGTGTTTGTGTGTGAGCGTGTGCGTGTGTGTATGTAAGTATACTGGAGAACAGGAATTAATGACGTATATGTAATTGAGTAAAATATAATTGTACTTTAATTTTTGAAGAATGAAGTCGATTAACAAAAAAGAAATGATTTATGAATCTAACACATTAAAGAAATTTATCTAGATTTATTTAGGAATTTTTTTAGATGAAACGCTTTCAATATAATCTTCGTGTTAGAAGCAAAATGGTTATTCTGACCACACTTTTTACACCGTTTCGGTCATTTTACCCTCCGTTTTTCTTCAGGATCACGAACCGATATATCCCCTCCGGTTGTCAAACGCAATGAGAATAATTCTACCGCCACCCTCGTTAACACGGTTTAAAATTCAAAGAAGTTTACCAAGTACAACAAATATCTGAAGATGGCCGCAGGTTACAACACCTAAAACGTTATCTATATAAGTGCAGATGTGTTTATCGAAAACACGACAGAAACTGAAAACAAATGCTCAACCAAAAGATAGTTAATATATGCAAGATTAATGTCTGTGCATGTGGGTGATGCAAAAGATAACGATAGAGAAATCGGAGAGACAAATTCGAATTCTAGTCAGGTTCTACATATTAACATCCGCGGAAATTCCTTGTCCGTGTAAGGGAGTACTAAACAAAATAGGAGTTTCCTGCTGGCTTTTCCTTTTATTTGCTGTGTCACTTCATAACCTGAAAGATTAAGGCTCTCCTCACGTTCCTATATCCTTTGTCTATCGAAGCATTTTTTGTCTCCATGCCAGTCCTTGCTCTGCAAATCTATTTATCCGAGTTCTGCTCTTCAATATGACAATGCGGGTGCCATTCTCCAAAATGTCGTTCCTCGTTAGGTTTCTTAGAAATACCACCTGTCTTTTTCAGATTCTAGCAAAAATTACGCAAATATAAGAATTGAAATATTTAGAAAGTGTCGTAAAAGACGACGGAAAGCGCGTCACTGAAATTCGTAGTCTCTTTGCAATATACAAAAATGGCTTCCGAAAGAGAATCAAAGGAAACACGAAAATATCTTGGAAACAAAGAAAGGAGCACTCCACAGTGATGGTATACTGGAATTATTAAATAGAACTGGATGATGAAGAAACTTCAAGCAACAGAAATATCATTCTACAGAAAGAAGCTGAGAATACCTTGGACTGAATATGTGAGTAATGAGGAAGCTGTGGGTAATTCAATTCGCTCGTCGTTTGCGATGAGTGAAATCGATTAAAGTGCTTGCTTTTGTCCGGTCCTCCGGTCTGTCGCTAGTAACCTCTTTTTTTCTCAGTCTCGTTAGTAAGCCGTCACACTAATAATGCGCTCTGTCGTCTTCCTGCCAAACTCGCTATTTATGCCCGCGTCGGGGGCAACTACAAGTTGCATAAGTGTCTTACTTCTCGTTCGCCCGAGACTTCCGGTTTTATAAATTCAAGCTGGTTTGAATTCTTAGTCTTTTTTTTTCTTATTAATTTGTTTCCCCTGCACGTCCGCCCGCGATCTTTCAACAGGACCTGACACGCCAAGCAAAGTCGCTTTGCAGGAAGTAAATCTTCTCGTTCCTCACAGAAGCTTTAGGGAAAATGGAAATAAAAAAGGAAACTTATATTTCGAATTAGAAAAAATTAAACATTATAAGGTACATAACTGGGCATGGAGAACGTGTGACAGTTCACAAGGTTGAGTGTGTTTATTTTAGGTAAAGGTGAGTGTTCAGTATGTCAACAAAGAAGATAGAAACATACAAAACATGAGTTTCCAGCACAGATGTCTATTTTAATTTAAGGAAAGAGACCTTGAGATCTTTGTTTCATTCTAATGAATGAAACAAATTTCTCTATGTCTCTTTCGAATACCCACTCTCTTTTTCGGATCAGAATTTAGGGAAGGTCATCAAAAGTGCCGTTACAACGGTCGTAATTAAGTCAGCTTTGCTCTAAATTGAAACAACGAAAAAAAATCTTGACGTACGGGTGTCCTACGTCGGAAAGTGGGAGGAGTGTTCAGTCATCAAGTCACCAGCGTGCCTAACATTCTTCATTGGGAAGATATTTACCATCTGGTTCCCATCTTGGAGCAAAGATGAAAAATAGAGTGAGGCAGAAAATATTTGCCTTTTTATAGACTTGAACAATGCCATATCACAACGTTTGGCGAACCAAGTGTGTTAATCATATTCCTGGTTCCTTTACAATTAGCATCATGGGAAAATGCATTTCTTTTTATATTATTATTATTATTATTATTATTATTATTATTATTATTTCATTTTCACTCATATTCATTAACCTGTATTGGAACAAAATAAGGTGTGATTAAATTTTATGACTTATTTAAAATCACAATATATATATATATATATATATATATATATATATAATTATTTATTTAAAAATATGATTCCAACACGCTACTTAAGAGTTCTCATGTTTCAAAACAAAAGCCGAAAACTTCAATATAATTATTTGAATTAAGTTGAATTAAAGTACTAAGCTCTGTTTCATCTTCAAGCGAAATTTTTTCTTTCCTATTTTCTATATATTTTTCACACACACACACACACACACACACACACACATATATATATATATATATAGTGTCATCCACAAATAGACTGTTTTACTGTATCGTAGCACATCAGTGTGGCTATATATATATATATATATATATATATATATATATATATATAAACCAAAGGGAAACAGATTTAGCACCAGGAAGAGGCAGTTGGAATTTCTAGGTCACATTATAAAGAAAGATGGCTTGGAAAATCTGATACCCCACAGGACAGATTGAAGGCAACAGGGTGAGCGAAAAATAGGGGACATACTTAGATTGAGTAAATGGATGGCAGAACAAGGTTTAGGAGAAATAACAAAAAGAGAAAATGTATTAAGCGCTACGAAGGACAGGAAATAGTGGAGACCAATAAATCGCCTGTGTCTTAAAGGGACACTCCATAAGAAGACAAAGATATTTAACAAGCCTAGCTTCATCTGTCAATCCGGACACGGTGATGGCGTCTAGTTTGGTTAGAACTGAATGAATTAGCTTGGCTGTGCGAGTCTGTCCTATTCTGTTTCGCTCCAATGAAGATTCCTTATTAAATATACATTATAACACAAAAATTAGCCGAGTGTAACTGATGTAGGTTTTGAGCAATACATTTGTGTTACTTTTCTGCTTGCATCACTAACACTAGCGGTTCCAGTGTGTCTGACTCGGAGTTATCTCGCTGGAAGCAATTTCGGAAAAGCCAGTGGAATATCTGATAAAAATTTCTTTGACACATTACTGCCCTACAAAACTCGAACAACACACGCCTAACCATGAATGTAGGGCATTAAGTCCGTTCCATTGTATCAATCAAACTTGTCCGTTCATGTTGATCGATATTATTTGAGGTTTTCAAAAGACTTATTTTATTTTATAATAGTCTCAAATAGCGATCGTAGTATTGTTAGCAGTCAGAAAAAAATACGCAAAGATATTTCTATAAGGGAAAAGTTGAATGTTTAATTTCGACCAGGAAAAAAATATTCTTAGACAACGCTTAGCGATATGTAATTTAATCGAAATATTACCGGATAAATTAAAGGTTCTTCGTCTTTATGTGCCGTGTCCCTCAGGGTGTTCGCGTATGGCTCTCCACAACTCTCTGTCCTTCGTAGCCCTTAATAAATATTGTCTTTTTTCTTATTTTTCCTAAAAGAAATTTCTGTAATCAATTTACTCAAGCCCAGAAAGAATATTATATGTTGTTTTCCTCTGTAACCCTTGCCATGAGAGTAACAGATTTTCTAAGCTTCTTTTTTTCTCGTTATCAGCACTAGAAATTTCTACACTCTTACTGATGTTAAGCATACTTTTTTGTGTCCATTTCCGCTAAAACATCACCATTTTTGGTGTCAATTTCCGCTCACATGATCGCTGCATGGCATCCTCAACATATATCCCTAGATCCACATTTCTGTTGTTTCAAGTCTCTTATTCACTGCCATTTCAACGGAATAGTATCGTGTAACAGTTCAATCAAATATTCTTTGGGATTTTTCTTTTTCTTAATTCTCCGCTTAGCTTTTGAAGGGCAACTTTGGCTATCCCAGCGCGCGTTTGGATTTCCATGTCGCACTTTCCGTCCTCTGATAAAACACTTCCCAGATATTTAAATCTTTGTAATTTTCATTTTGGGCTGATCCTTTTGCTAAAAACCATATATTCTATCTTCTTGCAGTTGATGTGTTATCCTTTCTTCTCATTTACATTCACTACTTTCTGTTAACGTTTTTAAAATTTCTTTCTGTGCCTGCTATCAACACTTTAATCTGCATATCTTATGCTGTTAAGTTTGTGCCCGCCCACAATAAATCTTGTTTAGATTTCTGTATCAGTGCTATAACGTAGTGGTTGTGTAAGCCATGCATGTGTTCCTTGAATTATTAATATCATTTGTATATGTTATGTTTCCTGCTTTGTATCCTGTCGGGTCAGGCCCAAACTATGGTTCTTAGGCTCTCTAGGAGAATTGTCATTTAATTGATAGCACCTTTTCTTCCTATTTGGGATGTTCCTAGTAGGGCGATCTGGGTAACTTGGATGTTGATGTTAACTGAGACACTGAGTAAAATTGTTCATTCCTTTTCTAACGAGGCCCAGTGCTCCGATTACTATTGGTACAGTCTAGGTTTTCACTCCCCATAAACTGTTAATCTCGATCCCCAGGTTTATTTCCCGATAATTTTCATGGCGGTGTTTCTTTCAGATTGTACGCCTATGTCAATAAGCATATATTTCCTGAATTTTTTGTCTTTTGTGATAATATCAGGTCTGTTGATTTTTATTTCCACGTCAGTTTGAATTGGCATGTCCCAGAGGATAGTTCCATCATTATTTTTGGTAACTGTGTTTGGTTGGTGCTCATAGGCATATTCTCAGTGGATTCGATTTTTTGCTTCTTGCATATCTTCCACTGCACATATGTCAATACCTTGTCATTTCAGTGGGTATATTAATTTTTTGCCAGTTCCGGACACCCTGAGGTAATATGGTCGACTGTTTCACCAGATTTTCCGCATGTCCTGCAATTTGATTTAGTTCCATCCTTGATTATATGACAGTGGTAAGATTTGGTTGAAAGATTCGATCCTGAGCTGCAATATTTAGGACTTCTGTCTCAGCTTTGGACCCATTACTCCACAGCTGTTGATGTGTTGTTGATATTGTTATTGTTGTTGTTTTTGTTGTTGTTATTAGTTGAAGATAATAATAATAATAATAATAATTATCTTCAACATCATCATCAAAGAGCCAAATGTGCACAGGAATTAATAGGTCAATGTTGGCTTGTGGAATTTTGTTCCTTTTTAGTATCTCATATCATTCCATTTCGATTATAATTTCGTAGATTCGATCTGGATTAATTTGCATATGTTGTGTGATTGGTAGGTTAATGCATCTTTAAAATTTTGTTAGCGAATGGATTTCGACATTTTATATCATTAACTAATGTACTTTATGTATGAATGATTTATTCTAATATAAATGGAACTGCACCACATATTTGGTGTATCTATCTATCTATCTATCTATCTATCTATCTATCTATCTATATATATATATATATATATATATATATATGTGTGTGTGTGTAAGCAAATATATGGATATAGATCCGACAGTATTAAGAAAAATATACGGAAAAAAACAAACAAAAATCCTAATATGCAATTATGCTGTTTTAATGTTAATATAATGTCAACGTCGGACTTTTCGGGTCTAGTAGACCATCTTCTGAGCATAATTGCATATTAGGTTTGTTTTTTTTTCCGTATATTTTTCTTTATATATATATATATATATATATATATATATATATATGAATGATAGACTATTCCGTCGTTTTCGACGGATGAGTGTCTTTCAGTTCAGTTTTTTATATTTACGTTTCGTATTAGACAACACTCCAGTAAAGGGATTTGCAAACAAATTCACACGAAGGGTTAGCCGTCATATGGGTTGATGTATTAGCCCGAGATTTCAAAATTAATTCTCGCAGATAATTGAGATGATTCTTTTCAAAGTAAGTTATACCTCAGTAGCAGGTATTTCTTCCGTTTGCTCGGTTTGCAACAAGTTCGAACTCCTCTATAGCGATGTTTGCAGCAGCGTGACAAAGGACGGCTTACGTTACGCTTACCATGAAAAAAGTTGGCTATACATGAGGCATCCGATCATCACTCATTCTGTATATATATATATATATATATATATATATATATATATATATATATATATATATATATTTTTGTGTGTGTGTCCATTTAATTTCTATATTTAAATTTAAGTTTTTACCTTCTTTTTTGAAACATGAGAACTCATATGTAGCGATGAAATCATATTTTATAAAAAAATAATTATAATACACACACACACACACACATATATATATATATATATATATATATATATATATATATATATATATATATATATACCACAAAAATTATGTTAAAACCCGGAAAAAACACCGAACCAAAAACGGACGTATAATAAAGTGTTCAATGCAGAGCAAGCCTATACAATAAACCGTGTATTAAAGCACACCACCGTGGTTTCAACCGGCGAGATCTTTTCATTTGGCTGGGCAACAAGTGTTCCTAAAGCCACACCCTACTTGCTATTATCATTCTACGGCACGAGAAGTTAAATAGGGGAATAGGTGTAAGGTAAGAAGAAGAAAAAAAAATTTTTTTTCGTCATCTGGAATCGTCGAAAGCGTTCTTACTAATATGTCAACATTTAGTCATTATCTCTGTTCTTCTAATGAACGACACAAAGCTGTTTCTTTATGTTGCAATTGATATTTTTTTTTCTCCTGACGCAACCTACAACTGCTGCTGCTTGTTTTGCAAGGTTTAACATTCCTCAAAATACTCCAATTTATGTACGGATTGTTGCCGTCTTCTTCGATTTCCAGACGTAACTTCTTTCAACAGGAGTTAAAATGCAAATGTAACGACTCATGCCCCAGACGATTGAATGTTTGAAATCAAATTCACTGCATACAAGGCAGTAAAAACACAACACACAATGGGTTACTGAGTGCAAAAGAATTAGGAACCAGAATCCTTAATCAGGAAGTGACTTAACGATTGGCATTGTATTTAAATTTTTGAAGATCAAAGTTGGCTCGGAAGCATCGAGCCGGAAGAGTGGTTCAACAATCGGTAATTATGATATAAGAAGATATGACCCTAGAACTTAGGGGTTACATTTTGCTAATTTTACTGTAAATTGATGGTAAATAATTGTTAATCTACTACGCTTAAGTTGGCTATAAGTTGTCGACGTGTACACAGTTGATTTAGTGTTTTCTTTTTTATTAATGATACACCTATTATTTTCAGCTTTTATATTTTACACGCAGTCGTATTTTCTACGAGTATATTGCGGATAGAGAGTTGTAGATCTTCGTATATGTTTAAATGGGTCCTAATTGGCTTATGTTAAGAGAGATATCAAGTAAGTCATCTTGATAGTCATGTATTGCTATGTGCAATAAACTTATTATCTTTGATAAAGGATAACAGAATAGCCGAAAGTGTGCAGATATATAGAACGTTTGGACAAATTTTACACACTTTATATCCAGAAAAGAAATTTTGAATAAAATCCTTCACCGTAGTGGCTTGGTATTTGTCTTCAATGAAACTTAGACACACACACACACACACACACACACACACACACACACACACACAGACACAAACACACACACACACAAACAGACACAAACACACACACACACACACACACACACACACACATATATATATATATATATATATTATAGTAAACATGGTAATTCCTGTGTAGCGATGAAACCATATTTTTTAATCATTTTATTTATGATATATATATATATATATATTAGCAGAATATTTTTATTAAATCATCTCTCATTAAATAATTTATTCAAGTTTTATGTACTTATTTTTAATAGGATCCTATCATAATTACGGACCCGTTTCTTAGTATCCTTATTAAAAGAATAAATTAAATTACCATGTTAATGTATATTAATTTTATTCCGAGTGCTTTCGACATTAGCACAATGTCGTCATCGGGGTCTTGTTTTCTGCCAAAACAAGAATTATTGTGTTAATCGCAAAATTAAATTTTTATATGAGAAGTGAAAACCTCTAAGGTTATGGACTGTAGAATAATAAAATTTTAAACTTGTACAGTACATAACCTTAGGGATTTTCATTTCACGATTAAAAATTTAATTTTCAGATGAACACAACAATTTTGTTTTTGAAAAATGACGAACACAACATGAAACATTATGATTTCTCATATAATATATATATATATATATATATATATATATATATATATATGTGTGTGTGTGTGTGTGTGTGTGTGTGTGTGTGTGTGTGTGTGTAGAGAGAGATAGAGAGAATAAGAGTATGAAATAAACATTTTAAGCGTTAAAAGATAACCTGATATAACCTGATTGGATATGCCTGAAACGACTTCATCACTAATGCCTTATGGATACATTTTAAATATATGCAGGTTTATCAGTAAATATATCAGTGTTTTTCTTATGTGTCGTTATCACTCACTCACTCTCTCTCTCTCTCGCTCTCTTTTCTGACTCTATCTATCTATCTATCTATCTATCTATCTATCTATCTATCTATCTCTCTATCTATCTAGTTTTTGCTTTTTTCTTTTTTTGAAATCATTTCACCCCCAAACAAGGTGATAATGCCACTTAAACGAAAATGGGTTGCTGGGAGTGAAAGAAAATGAGAAGACATTAGGGAGGCTAAAGGACAATAAAAGGATAGGGTTCAGGAAGCCAGAAGAAGGTGATTGGTGGTACCTGCATTTTTTTGCAAGACTCTAGGTTGTAACCAAGCTAGGAATTGGCAGATAAGAAATGTGAGAAAATATATTATTGGTGTAGGTCATACGGTTTCATCTAACTAGTTGAAATATAAAACATAAAGACATAATTGCCAATCTAGTCGTACAATTATGTTAATGCAGTTGAGGCAAGAGAGAGATAAAATAACATCATAACAATTGCATTGAATATATTTGTAGAAAAGACAGAAGGAAGCCACGTTGCGTCGGTGCGAAAGTGACTGAAATCGATATTCTGGGTCCGGATCGACACAGACACTTCTTTGTTTTTGTTAAGAATTTCGCGATATATAGCAGGGTCAGCAGACCATCTATTTCAGATTTTGTAAAGAGACAACGCCTACGCTTGAGATATTTAATTGCTACGTCCACGGCCTTCCTCTTTTGTCAGGTATTTTTTTCTATCTCTTTTAGATATTGTCAGCGCGAAAATCTTAAATAATCCATTGAAACATTGAGAGAGTTCATTGTTTCTTCCAAATAATTACCCATCTGTTAAATATCAGCTTTCTTCGTGAGGAAGCAACACAACTGCATTGGGAGAGTCCGCTATTGCTTCCATATATTTTAGCATCTGATAGACATCTTCTTTTACATGAAACACAGCGCAAAAGATTGAGAGTTCATTGCTGCTCCCATATACGTTTCCAGATATCTATCTTTTCATGGGAAAACAATCCACATCATTGAGAGAATTCATCAATACTTATATATTTCCCCAACTTTCTGCGATGTGTCATGGCTTGAGAAAGCAGCGTTCAACATTGAGAGATGTCTTTGTTGCTTCTATATGCTTCCCATCTGACAGACATGTCTTTTTACGAGAGAAAGGTAGACACACCATTGAGAGATTCTGTTGTGGCTTCCATATGCTTATCCAAATGTCAGATATCTATTCTAGCGTAAGAAAACAAAAGACTGCATTGAGAGAATTCAATGTTGCTTTCATGTACTTCATCTGTCAGGCATCTATTCTAGTGTGATGTAGCAACAGACTGCTTAGAGAGAGTCCACTGTTGCTTCCATATGCTTTTACATCTGTTAGACATCTGTTTATGCATGAGAAAGCAACACACAGCATTGAGATATTTCGTTATTGCATTCATATACAGCTTCCAACCATCTATTTTTACGTGAAAAAGCAACAGACAGCATTTTGAGAATTCATTGTTGCACCAATATACTTAACCATCTTTCGGACATTTTTTTTACATAAAAAAGCAACAGACAGCAATTTGTGAATTCATTGTTGCATCGATATACTTAACAATCTTACAGACATTTTTTAGGAGAAAAAGCAACAGACAGCATTGAGAGAATTTATTGCTGCTTCAATATACTTACCTATCTTTCAGAAATATATTTTTACGTGAAAAAGCAACACACAGAACTGAGGGAGGTCTCTGTTACTTCCATATACGTCCCCGTCATCTAGACATCTGTTTTTGCGAGAGAAAGAAGCACACAACATCAAAATAGTTCATTTTTATTTCCATATGCATAGCATTCATCTATTATTGTGGGAGAAAGCGTTGATTGTTGCTTCCCAATCTTTCCTAATCTCCGAGAAATTGATATATTTAAGTATTGTGAGGAAGCAACGGAAGACAATGAGTTAGTTCATTGTTACTTTCATATCTTTCCTGCCCGACAGAAATATATTTTAGAATTTGTGACGAAGCAACACACTGCTGTTTCCATATCCTTCGGCACCTGCTAGAATGTGCGTAATTAATATTTTCGGGGACTTGATGGTAACACAGCACACTGCATAATTCAACTTCGTGTTTTCCTTACTTCTCAGGAGATAATGTGAGATAACCTGTTACATACACAAATTACTACTTTGTCGCATACTACAGTGTCAATAAGGCAAAGTATAACCTACGTACCCGAACAGGAAAAGAAACAAAAACGGTGATTTCAAAAGAATATATATATATATATATATATTTTTATCTTAATACCGCCATTATTCTATTCTCCCTCGGCAATGTTTATTCTTTAAAACAAGCTACTTTTAGAATTTTAATAAAACGACAAACATAGAAAAGCAGCTTCATAAACTTTTCTTCAGAATTGAAAACAAAAATGCGTAGCAATGTTTATTTACTCAATTGTTTATTTATTTATTGCTTAAATCATTTAACCATCAAGTAAGGCAATAAAGCCACTAGGACGCAAGAGGTTACGGAGTGTCATAGAATATGAGAAATAAACTATTATTATGGAGAAAGGAAAATAAAAAAAACAAGAATTAATTAGGAGATAACGATTGACATTGAATTTTAATTTCTTGAAGAACAAAGTTGATCGGGAAGCAAAAAGCCGGAAGAGGGTTCCACAAGCAAGAAGTTTAGATAGAAGAACTTTGTAGCATAGATCTTACTGTTATATCTAGACATTTCAACTGCAAAATAACGGGACCTTACCGCCAATCTAGTACTGCGTTTAAATTCATAAAGTCTACGTGCAATGACGGAATGTTCATCGAAACAATTAATATGAAAATATTTACAGAACATGTTGAGGGAAGATACGATGAACAGGAAGATAGGGACTAAAGATGATATTATTTACAAGATTATTTTTTTAATTTAGATGACTATAAAAATATGTGAACCAAATGTAATGCAATATGTACTATTTTTTTCAAATTTATTATTTACTATTTTATAAAGAAATAAATATATATATTTGTTATCTTTTAAACTCATTAAACTCTACAAAATTATAAGAAATATATGAACTAACTACAATTATATATTTATTATATACAATTATATACCTAAGTATTTCCACATTGTAGCTAAGAGCATACGCCAGGTTCGTTCTAAGGGTACAGTCTTTTTCAGTTGAATGCTTGAGGTTTAATATATAGAAAAAAGCAGTTTGAACAGATCGTTACGAACTATACGAAGCCATAAGATGAAATTGTATAGCAGTCGGAAAATTTCATTCGGTTGTAACCTTTTGCTGTAGATGACAGAAGTGTTGGGGGCGAACGGTCTAACGGTCTTGCGCTTTCCTTTTCGCGTGTGTCGGCACTTCGTCTTTTGGGCTTGTAGGTACCACCGTCTTAGAGATAACCAGCCTTTTTGCCTTGTCAAAAAAGTAATTCATGTACGCTCCATTCAGCTGACGTATTTTGTCAGGATCATTTGGAATATTTCTTGTGAATTCCGCGACCTAAGCAAATCGCCACCGATTTTTACGACGTTAATAAAACATCAAAAACCGAAAAGAATAAATAATACAATATGAAAATGAAAAACAAATAAATAAATAAAACAAACCACACCCGCAAAAATAACCGCCAGAATGGATTACCCACAATGCACCACTGACCAATATATATAAATAGTTGTGGATAAATACAGCATTCGAGGCCTGAAACAGCATGTCGCCTCTGAGTGTTGACGTCAATGTTCATTATATCTATCTGTCTATCTATCTATCTATCTATCTATCTATCTATATATATATATATATATATATATATATATATATATATATATATATTCATCGTGTCTATACTCAAGTTTATACGAGAATATTTGTTGGTCTATTTCTTGAATCTACAAATCCATAAGTAAACATTGTTAGTGTCTAGTCTTATATTTATAGGCAAATATTGGCCGTGCGTATGGTTGAGTGTATAAGGAAATATTCATCAAGAATAATTCAGTTTATTGATAAATATTTCTCAGGTTAATACTAGGGTACTTCCGTCTGTAAGAAAATATTGTGCGCGTCACTTCTTGAGTTCATAGACAAATATTGGTTGATTTTATACTCAAGTTAATAGCCAACAGTTCGCCGTGCACCACAGGTAAACACTATTGGTGTATATACATGAATCCATACCTAAATATTGGTTCTGTTTATACTCTGTCAGTTGGTAAATTCTTGTTGAGCTTATACCTGAGTATATAAGTAAATTCTCGTTGGTATATACTTTAACCCATATGCAATCATTATTTGTGGCTATACTAGAGTCACTCGAAATATATTCTTCGTGCACCGTATGTAAACAATATCCGTATCTATATTTGAGCCGAGATGTAAATATTAGTTCTATCCAAACTTGATTCCATAGGTTAACTTTTGTTGTTAATCCATATATAAACATTGTTCCTTTCTATACTAGATCTTATGGGTCTCTATTGTTCATGCACCATATACAATGTCTGAGTAAAATGTATCGGAACTGTTGCAGAGTGTAGCAGCTTGGCATAGATTGTCGTTGGATTCTTTTGCGGATACACGCTAATTTATAATGTTTTCATTCACTTCCATTGTTTATAGTAGTGCTTAAAAACAATGTGTGTAGCGTGTGGTCGTTTTAGAAGTTTCATCAGTAATCATGACTTGAGCAGCAGATTTCGGCCAAGTACAACATTCCTCAGGTTCGAAAACTACTGTATTCCCCAAATCAAACCCCAATTGCAACTTTTCTCTCTCCAAAAATCAAAAACATTTTTGTTACAGTTTATTTTTAATTTGAAAATTTATTGAAAATGGTATGCAATTTTCCACAAATATTCAGTTGGAGATCGTTGTGAAAAAAAAAAAGAAGAAAAAGTCTACAAAATTCACTCATCTGCATTCATATACTTCTTCAATTTAGAGGGAGCGGTATGACCCCTAATTAATTGCTCGAAAAATCTATCTCAGTTTCTTTGTACTTTTTGCAGCCCCGTAATGAGTTTCGATATTATGGGGTGTTCCATACCAAGCCCTGTGTTCAGTCTTCTCTTTGCTGCTTCAGCATGGTTATTCATCC